TCTATATCGTGTGTAATCCGGCAGGTGGCACTAACGCAAACGTTAGGTTTGTACTCGGATTTCCAACACCATAAGGATGTTTTCCAAATAAGTTGGATAAGGAAAGTCGTGTGATGTTCACACCAGATTTTTTAATATACTATTGCTTGATTCATAAAAATGTGTACCTACTGCCATTGGTTGTCAAATGAAAAATAATTCGATATCTAAATTAGAACTTTGATTCTATAAGTTTTTAATTAATTGCGAAAAAGCCACAACTTGTGGCAATTCTGTTTTTAAATAAGGTGTTTTACTATACAGCTCTAAAATTCATACATCGGTTTCTTAATCTGTATCAGCTCGAAGAAAAAGTTGAGAAGGAACAATACCTGTGAAGATGTTTTAGAGAAGTTTGTTCATTGGAAATTTCCAGAATGTACGGGAATCGAGTTTACAAAATAATTTTTGATAATTGTTGATAATAATTAACAATTTTGTCTCATTATACTCGTGTTCAACCTCTTGATCGAGAAAAATACTGGAAACTATTTACAACTTTATTTATTATTCTGACTCAGTGGAAAGAAAAGTTAATTTTTTTCTTGATTTTGCACAATATTTTTCTTTATTTTGCGTTTAGAATAAGTCTATTCCAGCACCCAAATGACGTCATTTGAGTGCTTTAATAAGTCGTGGGTGTTAATTTAATTTTAATGACGGACTATACACAATTACACAATATATCACAATTCATTTTCAAATGTGAAAATAAGAATTATTTTTATCTTTGACAGCCGCCCAAAATTATTCCACATAAATGTCGCCAACCGGGGCAAAATTCTCTAAAAAAAAAATTAAAATTTTCTCAACAGTTCATTCGGTACCCTAGAGCCTTTGGTTATTTTTATTACAAATACGAAATACCTAAAACACAGTTTTTGCGGACGAATCGTTGCTGTTTCCGGACGAGGTGAAACCGAGTCTTGAATAGCAGATGAGTCCGCAAAAACGTTTTAAGTACGTGTTACAATCAAATTTTTTTTGTTAAATGTATCTTATTTTGAACCTTTCTTTTAATAACAAACTTTACAAAAATCAAAGTTGTGAAAACATTTTACGTAAATATAACAGTACTTACTTGTATGTTATTCGTATTTAGTATACATATGAATGAATAAATTCGAGATAACGTTTACCTTAAATGTTTGTGCATCTTATCTTCGACTAAAAGCATGGGTTTTATCAAATATGTTACATTTAATTTTTAATTTTTACAATTGTTAATATCAATAATCAATATGAGTTATTTCTTATTATAGTATATTAAAATCAGTATCAGTAAGTATATTAAAATTCATGTTTGACGCGTGGTGCTATAATTTCTAGATTATTCTATTTAAAAAAAAGCAAGATTTTAAGTGTTTGTGATTCAAGGTAAGTTAGAATGTTTTCTTGGTGTGAAATTCTAAACAATCGAGTGCAAATTGGCACGAAATTTAATTGACTTTGGGTTTTAAGTAAATACAGAAAGTTTACGATCTTGAGGTTGAAATTTTTGAGAAGATACGATAGCAGTACAAACAAATAGGTGCAGGCCCAAAATTAGCGTAACAGCTATCATAATTATAATATACATATTAATCTATCGGCTGGATGGAAAAAAAAGCTCATTCTGTTTTCGGAACGCTTTCAGTAGCGTGTGAAGCTGTTCCGCGAATTTTGATCCAGCCGTATTCTAATAGTCATGGTCACCTTTTCCCAAGCCTCAATGTAAAATTTGATAAAGCTTATTCCATATCTGGTGGCGAACTGACAGTGACAGAAAAGACACTCGGAGTGTGCCAACTTGGTTAATATAAAAAAAATACATGGGCGTACTTTTTTTTCTCTAAAAATTTTGAAGACAAGGATTGTTAGGAATATCACTTTTGAAAATTCTTTTCATGCGTTAACAATTTAATAATTTGTTCATCATTCTTCATCTTATGTATGAGTACCTAATTATTAAATTTTTTAAAAGAATAACAATGGTTTTGAAATATTATTTCATACGACGCCTATGAACAATATTTTTGCACAAAATGCACTTTTGAGACACTGTTTTTTTGCGACATTTTATGCAATACTTTGGCCATCACTGGCTGTATACTGTCGTTTTTAAGTCAGAAATTGTTGCAGTTTAACGTATTTCACCGAAACGAATGTAGTTTAAGCTATTTTCGAGCAATATAGGTACCGCATACGTCAAATGTCAAAAATTTTAACTGTCAAATAAAAATAAATTCAGTTTAGAAAGTGCTCAATAGAAAAAATAGCATATCTCGAGAACGATAAGAGTTAGAAACTTGAAATTTGGTATGTAAGTTACTTATAGCAAATCAAAATTATACTGTTGAAATATTGTTTAAAGAATAACAATGGTTTTGAAATATTATTTCATACGACGCCCATGAACAATATTTTTTTTTAATAGTAAACATATGTTTAGTGTCAAAATTCAGTCATTTTTGACAACGTCAGTTCGCCACCAGATTTGGAACAAGCTCTAGTTGCCATTACTTGTTTTAAAAGTGGTTTTGCTCTCAGAGGCATAAGTACGTATTTCACTTTAAAAAATAATACCTAATAAACTGAATGCACTATTTGACAAATCAAAATCAACTTTAGCTTCATAACTACAATGCGATTAAAAAGTCTTTCTATCAAGTAGGACGTGTCCCATGGCAGTTAGATCTCAAAAAATTATTTTATAAAAATTAAAATATTAATCTAAGCAAATTGAATTATTCTATGAACCGTCTCAAAACTTCTTAAAATGGGATGTTGCTGGTGTTTATTCATACAAATCGTTCATTTCGATTTCTTGTCATAATTACCATAAAAATTATTTGGACATTTCTCATTTGTGATCCTGACATTTATTATTATGCAGACACACGTTTTAATTTCTAGACTTTTTAAATTTTTGTATTTTTTGTAAATTCTTATGTTTTAGTTAGTCATCTGGACTCGAGGACACACGATTTTTGAAAACTTATCTAAAATTTCTGCTGAATTTGAATCAGAAAGTCGTTTTTTTATTTGGAATTGCCTTCACTATAAAAAAGACGTTTTTGTGAAAAATTTAGAAAACCTAAAACTTTGTTTTTACGCCGCTATATCTTCACTCTAGATGTAGCTAAAAACTGTTTTTTTTTTATCAAAAATGTTTCTCATTAATGTAGTTCTGTTTTTCTGGTGTTATTCCGATGAAATAACATCAGGAGTGGTCCCCAAAGGACCACACTCTAGAATGCAATATTTATTAGTGTAAATTAACATTTTTGTATACAGGTTAAGTCATATTCAGGGAGATTCTGATAAGATAATGAACCTGACGATCTGGCGATGCAATCCAAAAAACAAACTCCATTTACGCCTTTGATCCAATTTAAACTAGGATTTGCAAGTTGAATCCAAGTTATTATCTTATGTCACTGTGACATCAGTGCAGAGAACCATCATTAGTGCTATTCAGTTCTCGCGGAATGATAGAGAAGTCAGAGAAGTCTTTTAGGTGTAAACCCAATACAAAATGTATGAAAGAATTAAACATTAAAGGTAGGCAAACAGTTTTTTTTTATAATTTATAAATTGCACTGTCAGAGCAACGTAAGATAACTTGGATTGCAAATGTAAATTGTAATTAAAATTATATCAAAACGTAAACGAAATTTGTTTTTTGGGTTGCATCGACAGAACGTCGGGCCCATTATCTTCTCTGAATCACCCTGTATAATAAAGACCCTAACCGATTTTCAGACGCAACCCAAAATACATTCTCAGATACCACTATAAACATAGATACCTGTGACAATTTTTATAGCTTGGAATCCTACGGTGTACCTTTGACGGTACAGATTCAGCTACAGCATTTAATAAACAATTACTTGATTTGAATTTAATAAACTAAATTTTACAAACGCACAAAAAGCAAAGTTGACTGTGAGAATGTATTTTGGGTTGCGTCTAAACATCGGTCAGGGTCTTTATTATAAGTGACTCAGCCTGTATGTACTGTTAACACCTAAATTAAAATATGTAAGAAATACTATAACTCCGGTAAAATTCATTACAATTATATCTAAGTGAGTCTCTAGGCAAATATTATGTAACATGTAAATCTAGTGTAATAATAATATTTTTTCTATTTTGGTGTTACAATGAGCATTTTGTGTAACAGAAAATCGTTGCATAAAATTCAGCTTTGTAACACTGTTTTTGGCAACAATACTTTTGCCATCACTAGTTATATACTGTCGTTTGTAAGTAAGAAAGTGCTGGAGTTCAACGTATTTCACCGAATTTAATGCAATTTTCCGCATGCAAGTACCGCATTTTGACATCAAATGTCAAAAATTTTAACTGTCAAATATCATAATAAATTTAATTTAAAAAGCCCTTAATAGCTTTTAATGTACTATTATGAATGTTTTACACACTCACTGAACATTCTAATGTACTTCCTGAGTGTACAAAGCATTGAATTATAGTGTGGTTACAGGTACTATCACTGTGATGGGGCGCCCTCCCTGTAATGACGCCCCTGCATAATATTAAGACAAATACATTATTGCGCTTTTCGACACATAAAATTTTGCACAAACACCGACGATGCTTATTTAGACGTATACCTACAATAAGGTTTAGGCAAATTTTCTTTAATTATTTTCTTTATACTTTAGATAATAGGTATGTATCACTTTTCAGTCGGTATTAAAAACGTTAGATGTCCTGAAAATGTAATAAAAATAAATAATACAAAATCCTTCTTTCAGACTCTATTTTTTAGGATCATATTCGAGGCTTATGTTTTCACAGCGGATATTTATTACCTACCCAATTTATCATAGTTCATAACTGCAAACAACCATTACGCTCATATTTAAAATATATAGAGATCGTGAAAATCTATGAAACTGTAATGAAAAATATTTATAACCCTAATAATAATATATTTTATCGATTAAACCAAAAGCTTCTACAACACACAAAATTTATTTAACACACAATTTACAGTTAGTCTTCCGATTACGCGCCAACAGAATCGATCACTCTCTGGTGCACAAAACGAATACGCTTTTGTTGCAAACGAGTCACAGTTATCAACTTATCATCCTCACTTGCTATAAATAAACAGAGCGACACATAACACTTAGAATGGCACCTGTTTTCAGATAAAAAGTCATGGGGTCGAGCAGCGGGGGAAAGAAGAAGTACATCAACTTTCGCAACCGACAAAGGGCTAACATGAGTTTTTTCATTGTGGTGATGTTTTTTGCTGTGTTCGGCATTATCATCTTCACAGAAATTTTCTTGATAGACGAGAGGGGTAGAGGTGCTGGAGTTCTTGTAAGGCATGGATCCCTCACTTATCATCATCGTCCACCGGCGCGAGACTACGAAGACGCCTTTCAGGTATAAAAATTGTCTTTAGTTAAATGTTAAATGACTACTTCGATACTTAAGACTTAGTTTAGTGTATTTTCCTTTTGTAGCAAATATTTTTCATATTAAATGAAAATTTATGTAACTTTTTAAGTACATACCAGGTGAATAAAAAGTATGGAACCAAGCGTTTTTTTCGTAAACTAAGCACTTTACGAAAAAATAGTTAGTGTAGCGTAAAATACAATTAAAATGTGACTATTTATCAAGAATAACATTTTTTGAAATTTCTTTTAGTTTTCGAGTTCTGGAATTTTTTTTTTTTTAAATGGCAACCCACCATGGTAATTTTTTAAATTAAAGATTCTGATCTAAAAATAACCTCTAATTAAATAAAATTGTTTTATAGCCAGTTCTTTTTTTAAATTAATTGTTAAAGTTGCGTTCCGAGCTGATCACGAAGATTTTCCGAACTTAACCGAAGTGGTTGTTTCATGCTTTTCATCATGGGAGAGCCCTGATTTCTATGCAGGTGCTTTGGGGTGGTTTCGAATAGACTAAAAATAGAAGAAAATGATTTGTTTTTACATTTTTTGATCCATCAGGAACCACCCCAAAGCACCTGCACCAAAAACCGGACTCTCCAACGACCAAAGTCATGAAACGACTCCCTCGTTCAAGTTCGGAAAATCTTCGTGATGGGCTCCGAACGCAACTTTAACAATTTATTWAAAAAAAAAGTACTGACTAAAAAACAATTCTGTTTAATTAGAGGTCATTTTTATATCATAATCTTTAATTAAAAAAATTACCATAGTGGGTTGCCATTAAAAAATATTTTTTTTTCCAGAACTCGAAAACTAAAAGAAATTTCGAAAAATGTTATTCTTAATAAATGGTCACATTTTAATTGGACTTTACGCTACACTAATTATTTTTTTTGTAAAGTGCTTAGTTTACGAAAAAAACCGCTTGGTTCCATACTTTTTATTTACCTGGTACATGCAGGATACCCCCAGCATAACTAACTTTATTATTTTTAAAGATACGACAATATTTCTTAGAACACAGTTGAACAGTTTCTTGTCATCTATTGTTTTGCCTAGATGCTCAATCAATGCCATTGGACACCGGAAGTGAAGTAATTTTTTTTTTTTTAGAAGATCCTGTATATTTTATTATTTTTGGATTCCTTATTAAATTGTCTTTCAACAAGCTCACTTAATTTATTTTTTATCACTAACTTTTGATTTTAGGCAATTTGAAAATTAAATTAAATAAAATAGGCTTTGGAAAGGATAGAACATTAATTTATATTCAAGCAAACGATTGACAACAAAAAAAATATTCAACTTTTGTCAAAAAAGTATTGTAACATCTTTAAAAGTAACGAACTTATGGCTTGGGAGGTTTTTTACAGTCCACCACTGTATACAGGGTGATTATAAGATATGTGCAAATCTTTTAAAGGTGATAGTAGAGCTCAAAAGAAGTCAAAATAACTCAATTAGCCTTATCCGAATGTTTATAGTGTTTAAGATACAGAGGGTTTTGTTCGTAAAATAAATTTCAATTTGGGGCACAGCCTTAAACTTCACCAACACAAATTGTAAACAAATATGATCTCTGAGGTTAGCTCTTCAAAATCTATTACATTGTTTTAAAGAAATTTAGCTAAAATTAGCAAAAATAGGCACACAGAACTCAAAAAAAGAAAATCATAAAACGGTAAAAATTTTGGATAAATTTTTTGTTGAAGATTATCACCCAATTTCATTACCTCAAATGTTACCGATTATTAGCAATGTAAACTTTGGGACAAAGTACTCAAAAGTTTTAAACTTAGTTTATATTACAATATTTCCGACGCCAAAGTAGAGGTTGCATCCTCTACAGGTGCGCCAGAACTCGCGCCCCAGAGAAAAATGCTATACCAGGTGAATAAAAAGTATGGAACCAAACGTTTTTTGCTTAAACTGTTTATTTTTTGAAAAAACTAATTGATGAGTGATAAAGTACTATAAAAATGTGATGATTTAACAAGAATAAAATTTTTCGAAATTTTTTTTTGTTTTTGAGTTCTACAAAAAAAATATTTTTTTTAAATGGCAACCCACTATAAAATCATTTTTCTCTTAAAAGCTATACTCTAAG